AAAAAAGCTAAGGGAAAAAACGATCCCGGCAACAGAAGTCCTAAAATAATAGATAGAAATACGAAAGATTTTCGCCTGGCAAATACATTTGAGCAGCAAATTTAATCAAAACCTTATTACGGCCATGGAAAAGGGAAAAATACGAACAAATTATGACAGGAGCTTCTTATTTTATTCAGGAAACACCTCAATTTGTTGCTGCTGTCCGGCTTTCCGTGTTGAAACTTGACAAACGGTGTATTCATTTTTGATGAAGGACAATTCCACACACACACACACAAAAATAGCTTGGGCCCAAAAAGTGAAATTTTCAGCACGACAAATTGCCAGGATGGCATAGAATCAATGGAGGGGTCGCAAAAAGGAAAGGCCCATCAATTTTGCAGTTGTCATTTATAAATTTGCTCAGCCCTTTGTTTTATGCATTGTCCTTTGCTATTTACGGCCGAGATATGCACAAGGAGTGGGAGGAGAAGGAGGACGATCAGGATATCTCCTTTTGTGTGGGTGTAAGGACGCGAGTTTAATGTCCCAGGACTTGCCATTCACATCCACCACCCTTCGATTCCTGCAGCTCCTTGGCCGCCTGCTCCTGTTTATGTGCACCACATAAAACTATCAATTTATTGCTGCAAAATCGTTGCGCGCTGTTTCCTTTGGCTGTCGCTTCCTGCACACTGACGCCCTCACACACACACACACACACTTAGCACAAAGAGGACACAAACACAGACTGCATCTGTGTGCAGCTTGCTCTCTTTTCGTGGGTTTTGTTATTATTGTTGGCAGCCTTTTAGGCGCCACACTGACGAGACAACAGGCGATTGCAGCTCTCTCCTCTACTCCCTTGTCTTTTGCATCTCCATCGCCATCGCCATCTCCTTTTCCAACACATATATAAAGACATCTATATGCGCGTGTGTGTGTGTGGGAGCAAAAGGTTTTCTCACTACGCGAACTTTGTTACAAATTTTTGCGACTTATTTTTCGCCACGAACTCTTCGCGAAGCTCACTGCTTCTGCATTACGTATACGCCACGTATACGTCTGTCGTGCGACGAAAATAGCATCAGTTGGCACTTTTTGGCCAACAAAAAGCCCCTCCCCCTCCCAGCCCCTCTAGCAACCACATCTGTGAGTATATAGCCATTGCCATAGCTTTAGCTCCTTGGCTTGGCAACAGCCAAATCCTTTTTATGCTTTTGATTTTTTGACACCCGACGTGTTGTTGTTCTCCTTGTGGCTTGTTAGCTGTTAGCCATCATTGTTGTTGCTGCTGCTGTTGCCGGGTGTCTTAGTGTCAACATGCGTTGATTCTCTTAAGCTTGGGATGGCTGCTCAGCTGAAACTTTGGGTACAGTTGCCTCGCACGCTGGTGATTTGCATACCAAGATGCACTCGAACGTCATAAGAAGTTTTGCAATTTCCATTTCCATCGCGTATTGCAAGTGGATATTGTTGACATGTGATTATATCTTTCTGCTATGTTGTTTTGCAGTCGGATAAAGCGGAGAAAGCTGTGCGGGTATACCTTCTAATGCTTTTTATGGTACTTGACAGAAGTGGAATGTTCTGGGTTATGGAATATGTAATCCTCAATCAAATAATAAGAAAATAAAATAGGTAAAGAGCTTAATGGTTATCTAGTTATCTTAGCTTATAACTAGGGTGTATAGGTATAAGTCGGGGTCAAATCGATATACGCATGGTAAATATGTGGTACATACGCATATGGTTTTTACCATGCAATACTGGTAAAATTTTATTACATGTTGTTTACATTTGGAGCATATCAAATTGATCATCGTTTCTTATCAAGTTTTTTTTTTTTGGTGAAAGGAAATGCAAATATTTTTTTTCACCATTTTAGACAACACAAAACAATCTTAAATTAAGGATTCAACAGCAAAACAATGTAGTCCTTTTCTAGATAGAAAGTTGCATTTAACGATTACTTCAAAGTCATTTCTGCACGAATATTTAACGTGACACAGTTACGGATGTTTGATTGATTTTCGTTCAATAATATACAAATCAGTTGGAGTACAAACCAGACCAGCTTAATTTGGCCCGTCCATCAGAAAGTATGCCATTCACCCTGCAGAACTTATTTCGATTTATTGCAACAACGATAAGCACCACCAGAGGCAGAAATAGAAATGGAAGCAGTGGCAGTAGCAGTAGCAGAAGCAGAAGCACCACCAGAAGAACCAGACCCACTTCCACTCCCACCCACCGGTTAGCTGCAATTCGAGCCACCCGCCCGAAGAGCGGAGACGAGCAAAACTAGCAAACAAGCGCAAAAATCAATTTAAAGTTCAATAGCCTCAGTAGCTAGCTAACCGACTGAGTGGGTGAAGTGGGCTCGCAGGGTTTTCTGGTCTTTGGTGTGGGTGCTGCAAAGGGTGGAACTTGGCTGATTTGGCCAAAAAAAAGAAGGAAAAGAGCCAGCTAGCAATGCGACCGAAATTTCCCTTAACTTTACAACGTTGCAACAATTTGCAAGTTATTTGTGTGTGGAATTAAGTTCAAAGTACAAAATGTGGGTTGCAGAAACAGCAGCACAACCATCAGGCAATAAAACTAAGGGGATTCCGCGGCCACGTTGCGTATGCGTAATGTATGCAGAAATCTGCATAAAGCTGCGCACTTTGGCGATGCGATGCCATGGAATGCCTTGCTGTACCGCACACCACTCGAATGTCAAAACGTGCCCAAGTGTCCATTGATGCAATTATGCGGCGGCCAACGAAGTTGATAAATGGCAATCGTGAGAAGCGCCTTCGGCGGTGCGACATTGTCATCGCCGTTCACCGTTCACCATTCACTGTTGCCATTCACCATTAAATGAATCATCGCCATCATCTCCATCATCATAAGCGTAACCAACGTGCCACAGTAGATGTGGGCGCTCTTCAAAATGCAAATGGCTTCTTGGCACGCCACGCTGTTGGATTCCGAATCATGGAGAGGCAGGCCAGGTAGACCAAACCAGGTGCCTAACGAAGCGAACTTTTGGGGAGTCAGACGGAGGGAGACATCAATTGATTCCCCGCTGACAGCCGAACAACATTCCGGCGGAGTGGAGTGGGATTTTCCCGGAATCCCACCGGGAGGCACAAACAGTCGAGTGTCGGGTTTCTGGCACTGCTGATGCATACATTTATGCATTGTCAGGTGATTTTGCCACTGCCATTGCAATAACACACTCCCGACAAACACCTGAAATGCAACTGACAGTTGCTGAACGGCAGCAGGCGGCAGGCAGCAGGCAGTGAGCAGCACTTGTGCAAGTTTCGGGTAGACAGATCAACTTGACGAATTAATTGCACTTGGCACGACTCAACAGAGCGTGAGCAAAAGAAATAAAATTATTTTGCAGTCAGCTACAGAGCCATAGTTGGTAATTAAACACCCCCTTGATTGCTGGCTAAAGTGAATACACTTTTCGGAATTTCCAATTTGTATTTGTAGAGGAGGACTAATGAATAAAAGGAAACTGCACACAACACACAATTGATACACAAAAAAACAAAAAAAACCGGGATCAAATCGGTACACGCATGGTAAATTTCTGGTATTTTTACTCATATCGTATTTTCCACGCAATACGAGTAATATTGATATTAAATAATATCATTTTACCGAATTCTCTCTTTCGTAGATTTTCTGACTTCGAAAAACATTTGCTGAATCAATATGACTACTTAAATTACGTGATTGGGAGCGAGAAGAACAAATTCGAAATGGAGCCAGAAAGCGCTTAAAGTTACATAAGTGGGAGAGAGAAAGAAACATTCAAAATTCGAGCATATCAAATTGAGATGCCGCATACAGGTCAAAATTGATACCACATCGAATCAAATTGATCATCGTTTCATATTAAGTTTTTTTTTGTTGGGTGTAGAAGCTTTGAAATAAATTGGCATCAAAAAAACAACGAAACGACTTAATTAAAATGTAATAATATTGAAAGGCAGCAAAAATATAAATTCAACAGAAGAATAAAATTTAAAAGCCCTCAACGTTTGATGAAAATATTGTGTGGCTAAGGCCTAGCTTAAAACACCTTCTAATTAAATACGTCAGGGCTTGCCAAGTGATTTTCATTTCCTGGAAGATAACACAAATAAAATACGGAATTATTAAGTGGCAAAGCTGGTCGCGTGGCAAAAACCAGAGGACAAAACCAGAACAGAAGAGAACAATTTTGGATGCAGCCAAAAATAGCAGAGGAAAGTTTTTTTCAAGAAATGGCAATTGGGGAAGGTCGGGGAAAGGGAAGGGTCGCAAAAGTGGGTGTTGGCCAACTTGAGCAGCAGATATCCCAATACACAAACATGCAAGCAGCACACACCAGCACACATGTGGCAGCGAAACTAAACCGGAGGCGCCAACATGTCCTACAAGTGATTTATTTTTATGTATTTGTTGGTGGAAGGCAAAGGCAGGGCGCAGAGAAAAAAGAAATGGCATACGAGAATGGAGAAAAGGCGAGCACAAAGTGAAATGCCACAAAAAGTAAAGTTTGTATTTCAGTTTGTTTTTTTGTTGTCCGTCGGCGGTGGCGGCGGCGTCGGTGCAGGCGAAGCCAGCCAAGCCTGGATTTCCCTCAGCCATTTTCCGCCCTCCCCGGCTTTCCCCCGCGTGGAATCAGCCGCAGAAAGTAGTAAAGTAGCGAACGTGAAACTATTTATAACAGCAAAAACCTGCTAAGCGGCCACACAAACAAATGCAATTGCGAGTTGCTAGTTGGTAGTTGGTAGTTGCTAGTTGGCAGTTGGCTGTTGGGAGGGTTGGATATCCATAGCATACTTCTATGCGCCGGCTCGAAAGTTGCAACATTTAGACGCAAATCATGGCAGACATTAGCGTGTGCAAAAGTTTTTCACTGAACGATTTATGGGAAAAGTTCGGGGCTTCTTACCTGGGCTAAAAGAAAGCCATTTTGACTGACTGTCACCGGCTAACCCGTTTTTCTGTTTGCCCTCTCCTTGCAGAGTGTCCCACCGCCATGGATGGCATGGAGCGGTTCGCCTGCCCGATACCCGACCGGCAGGGCAGATATCGCTGCATAGACGATCATGTGCTGTGCGATGGCTTCATCGACTGTCCTGACGGCGAGGACGAGGACCGGAGATCCTGCATGTTCTACAAGACGGTAAGTTCGACGGGCTCCCACGGCGCATACTTAATGTCACCATTTTAACGGCCTTCCTTGTTCTCTCCCTTTTTGTTGCTCCTTGCAGACGAAGGCTCACTTGGACGTGTTAGCGGATGCGTTACTGCGCTGGGCGCGAGGGCGTTAAGCTCCAACCACCCCACAAACAACACACACACTCTCTAAGACAGCCACACCCCAAACACACACCCCCACTCAAGATACACCTAGAACTCACGTTAAAGTTTAAACACAGGAATGACAAAAAATTAGTTTTAACTTGCCCCAAGTCAAGCAAAGACCTATTAAGTTTAAACATTACTCAAGAACAACACACACAGACAAGCCAACCATCCGCCTGTCCTTTGACATGAGATAAGATTCCCCAGAGAACCCCCGAGAAAACCCCAGACCCATGCAAAAAGAAAAACAAAACGCAGCTTGCAATGAGCTGAGTGGATTGCCAAGTAAGAGAACAGAAAGCTATTATTAAAACAAAATGAGGCAGCGATTATGCTTAAAGGTATGATTATTATTACACTATTATTATTAAAAATTAACTAAATGAAAGCCCAAGAACAAAAAGCAGTTATACATACTAAAACTAAATTATAATTCAAGAAAAACAAAAGCATCAAAAGTAAGACAAAATCGAAGCCGTTCTTTTCAGTTCTAATTGTTTCGCAGGAACAGAGAAAATAATGAGGAATAACAAAATTGGGCCTAACTATTTTTAGTATATATTAAATAAATATATTATAAATATATCTTACTATATGAAATATATATTTCGTGTACATTATTTAATTATAAGTGTATTAAAGTTTAAATGTTAAATAAACCAAAAGAAATGAAATCAAAACGAAGCAAGCAGAAAAAAGCGATAAAAACACGACGAGGCAAGCGAGCAGAAGAAGAATGAAATTATATATACATATACACAGAAAAAAACAGACATTAAATATATATTAATAGTATACATATACCAATAACAAACAAATATACAATTGAAGGAAAATATTGCATTAGGTTTTATTGCTGATAACTGAACAAGCTAATGAGTGCAATATAATATACTTATATACAATGCAATAACGGCAAGATTAGCAACAAAAACAAACATTTACAACCTAGAAGATGAAGCAAAACATTTACATAAAGAAAAAGACTTGACTTCATTGAAACCCAGTTCTGTTCGATAGTTGAGGCTTCACACCTTTAAAACTTTTGGTTCAAAGTTCTCTCATTGTTAGATCTACGTTCGCCATTACAGATAATTTGTTTCGTTCTTATTTTTTCCATGTGTGTAAATAATACTTTCAAATATCACCCTTATTTGCCTGTAAAGATCTCTCCCGACTCCACCAAAGACTTTTATTTCGTTCATGAGTGACAACAATTCTCACGGAAACGGCAGCTATCTGTAGTTAAGTAAATTTATTTACATAATTAAAGTATATTTAAATAACAATGGACTTATAAATATACATAAAATGATAAGCTTATAAGCAAAACAAAAAGCTTGTACAAATGCTAACTAACACTACTCCAGTCTCGACCTTTTATCCTAGCCACAATTGTTTTTATTCCCACTCATTTTATATGTTATCATTCGCGCTCTTCTCTCAATTGGAAACGCTGAAAATTCAACCTTAAGCCCATAATGTTCTGATCAGTGAAAATTATTCGCTATTATTATGCCTGTAAAGGGGGCGAGTTCCCAACACAATCAATCAATTAAGAAATACAATCAAGCAAATTTTTAAGCCGAAATTTACGAATTAAAATTTTTAACGGTTGTGTATGCAAACAAATAACAGTGAAATGATAAACGCAAAAGAATAAATGGCAATTTAACAATAATAATGAGTATCCTCGATAGCGATTTTCGCATATTGCATTTCCCGCGTTTCCTTCTGAATTTCCTATTTAATTTTCGTTTTCCATTTAACCGTTCGCTTTATGCACTTTAATCAATCGATTTTTGGTGTTAATTTTTATCGGCCCAAATTATGCATGTTGTTTAATCGATTTCTGCAAAAACCTAAATATGTTTAATTATGTAAAACGGAATAACATATGAAATTGCGAGCAATAAAATTTCATATCTTATACACAGTACGTATAAAAAATCGCAACAAATTATAAAAATCTAATTGAGAATACGTTAACGAATAAGTTTTTATTTCACATCGATCCCCAACCTCCTGCCCTCCTATATCAACGATCTTCGTTATTAACCGAAAAGTATAAATAGGAGACAGCCTTGGTGTTTTCTTTTAATTGATTGATATTGATTCAGTAAAACATTTACATAAATAACTGCAAAATAACCCACCTTTAAATATAAATGAAAGTAAAGTAATAATAACAATTTCTATACCATACGAAAATACTAAACGCAAGACAACGTGTGTATAACTCTAAGTAAATGATAACTACCATAACGAATACGAATAATGTATGTATATGCAATTAATTGTAATCCTTGAAATTATGCACAAATCGAGAATCCAAACAAGAACAAGAACAAATGCGCACTAAACAACTACAACCGGAGGACAAAAGCCGAAAACAAATCAAAGACGAACAAAAGTTTTAATCACATTTTTTGAACGAACGACAATTGAGGTAAAGGTATAGAAAAACACACACACACAGACATACAAATACATATATTTTTGGCCTATTTTTCTATAATCCTAACAAAACCAAGAACGAAATTTTAAAAGCAAAACGACAACTTCTATAAGGACAAACCAAAATGAAAAAACATAAGTTCGACTGTAAATAACAAAAGCGAAAAGGATTTTCCCAAATCAGTTTAGTTTATAATTAAACGAAGTACTAACGAAGATCGTTTAATAACATTTCAATTATCTTCCCATATATTTTGCTATTATTTCCTTGTTTTTCAGCCTATTTAGAAACATTATTTTTCGTATTAAGCCTTTGCGTCCTGTACGCCCTCACAGCAAACAGTATTGTGTATAAAAACAATTTGTAAATAAATATATTACGTCTAAATTAGTGAAAACGTTTTTATTTCCTATTTTTAAATGTTTTATAATTGTAGAGTATTTAGTTTAAAGATTATTTTTTGAATACCACGAAAAAGGAGGAAACTTAGCGAGAAAAAGTCCAAAAGAGCAAATACAGAATATAAAGCTGAATAAAAAACAATTGTTGAATGTTAAAAAAATACATACACATATACACAAACAACCATAGGTACATACACACACATACAAATATAAACATAAATATAAGAATATATAGTCGGCCCTTAAACTTGTATTTATTTGTATTTGTATATTTGCAGACGAGAAAGAAAGCATAAGAAACATCAAAGAGAAAGATGGAGAATATAATTAGCCATGAGTAGCAAATGGCATTGACGAAAAGCGAATGCCATTCGCAAAAGTTATCGAAAGAAAACATTTTATTGATTTTGTCTTACCCAACTCTTATTAATTAGTATTTGCTGTAAATAATTTTCGCCTTCCTCTTTTCGATCTTGTATCTCTGTATCTCTGTCTCAATCTTTCTCGCACTAATTTCAATTGTGTAGGAGGTATAGTTTTAGCATAATTCCCCTTTTAATTTAACAACAGTTTTCTTAACTACTTATAATAATTAATTATATATTATACGAATATATAATAATGCAGAAAAAACAAGAAAATACACAAAAAAACAAAGAAAAAATGAAAAACAAATACACAACTTAATATACACTGAAAACGAAACCCAAACATGCATTTCTGATTTCCACTTTGTTACTCTCACAAGATTTCAGAATACTTCACTACTGCAAAACATATTATTTTTCCTCCACAAAAACAACAACGACACCAGACAACACTTACAACAGTACCAACAAGTAAGTTAAACACATATGCAGGCAATCAAATACCATATTATAACTTTCTTATGGATCTAAAACGTAATGCACATATTTACCTTTTTGAGTTCGTAGTTCAGCTCTTTGTTGTGGCAAACTAAGAACATTTTCCCAAACGCTTTTATTTTCCTGGCGAAGAACACCTGAAACCGCAAAGTTTGAGATTATCCCTGGGATCCTTGGATCCTTGTTGAATGCCTTTTGGTAAGTTACAACGGTCGTTCTTAGGTGCTTTAGTACTTTGGCCACATAGAGCTCTTCACTCGGCGGTCGAACAAACTTTTCAACAAGGTCTAGAGAGTAGTTTAACTTTTTAATTATTCCCCAAGTAAAATACACAGAAATAAGTCAGAGCACAAATGTCAACTTTAATGAAAGTAAATGTATAATGTTTGTAAGAAAACAAGGTTAGGGACTCGGCGACATGCATATTTTCGGTATTGAGATTTTGAAATTGATTTGGACAGAGCTGATAAGCGGTCATCAAATGAAGAACGTAGGAAGTATATTTAAATGATTAATATCCACGTATAAAATATAAATGTTAACTAAATTAAGTGTAGACCCGCAAGAGGGAATTATATAATATATCTGCTTTTGCTGAGCACAAATGTGTTAGCCATCGCCAAAATTACTATTCAACCACTAAACTATATGTATTCGATGTAGATCCATGTTTAGTATGATCTAAGGTTGCACCTGAAAGAATGTTGAAAAGTTTGTACGAAAAGCCAGCAGCTAAAGACAATTTATTCAAGCATTGGAGGCTGCATGCAAAGCTGAAACAACGAGCATTAATAAGCCAGGGCTAACAGACTTGGACCTAAAGTGGCCTTCAATGGGCATCAGGTGTTGTAGCCATTGATTCGGGCAAGCTTTTTATGACCATGCCACAAAAAGCCGCACTCAATGCAAAAACAACCAGAGCCACTGATGCAATTCAATGCCGCTTTTATTCCACTCACAGGTAAACATTTATCGCTGACCACTGAAAAGCAAAAAATAAAAATTTAAAGAACTGTCTATTAAAAAGATATCCAAGTGAAACGTATAAAAACATTTTGAGTGTGTTGCAAGGTTTTGTATGCATATTGCGGAAAATAAATTGCTTGTAGAGGAGAGTGAAGAGCTTTAAAGTTTTTAGCAAAGTTTAAGAAATTTTCAATTTTTGGGCGGACTAAGAGAATTTATAACTCAAGCTTAACTCAGGATCAGCTTGGTAAAAAAGGCGATTTTTTTAAATTTTATCCAAATTGATCCCTTAACATATTACTTTTGTATTCCTTTACCTAAGTTGCCATCTATTCTGTTTGCAATTGCGTCAGCCAAGCATATATCTTTATTTCAACCCTAATTTAAACCCACTAAATATTCATGCAATTCATTAAAATTACATAACAACTTACACAAGCTACACACTCTCTCGCCAACTCTAATAAATTACGTTCAATTGAAACAATTAGCGAGACAAATTATGACAAACAATTAGCATTAACGACTTTGCACTGTTGCACATTTTATGTGATAAATAATTATACCAAATCAAAACGGAAAAGCATAAATTATACGTATTTAAATGCACCACAATTGCACTTACCTAAAAATTATAATGAGAACAAAAACACCTGAATTCGTATTAGAGCCTGATTAATTAGTGATTCTATTTTATGTGCATCATTGTTGTAGTAATTGCACGAATCAGCACAAAAAGTATACTCCGAACAATGAGGAAGCCAAGCCAATCCGACTTCGATGGAACGTTGGATTGGGGAATCTCGAGGGGTGACCCTCGAGTTGGTTGGGCCAGCAGATCAGTCTTCCACGGCACCAAAATCCCGAATTTCAGACATTAGTACACCCTCGTTTAGCTTCGGACGCACAGGGAGCAGTCCCAATCCCATCATCAGGAATGGCCAGTTTTAATGGAATCAAAAGAATATTTTCGAGCTATAAACATAAGTAGTCACAAGTACCTTAATGCAAATCGAAATGTATGCAAGGGCCGCGGGGAGTTGGGACTTCCGATAGCCACGCCCACTCCACCACAAGGACATACATTCCCTTAAACATGCACACAATCAAGGCTTAAAAGCAATCCGTCCTCAAATGACACTTTTGAGCGGAATCTCCACAAAACACTCAAGCAGGCCGAGGAGTACGACTCTAAAGTTTTTATTAGGTCTAAACTATTTGCACCCCCGCTCCGACCACGCCCCATTTCCACACACACCCCCATACACCATACCCACCCCACACATACAACCAAATGCACTTAAATTGTAAATGTTGTGATTATATAGCACCGCCTCAAAGTATGCACCAAATTTTTGACAAATGTATTTTTGCACTATTTTTAAATGCACAATGAAACGCCCAGTTTAAACTGAAATTAAACGTATTTTAACTAAATTAGTTCTTAAATGTTAAACAAAATATATACCTAACAGCCTGGAGAGGGATTTTCCTTTAACGTTCTTATGTTAACTTAAACCAAAAGTCAAGAAAAGTCTGCGAAACATTTTATTCAATCGATATGCAATGTAAATACAGAACAAAGAGGATGGCTAAAAGAAGTCTAAGTAATTTAGAAATTGTCACTATGTAAATAGACCAAACCGAACGCAACCAGAGGAAAATAGGACGAACATACAGAAGAGAGGAGAACCGAACAGAACAGAACATAACAAAGAAGTAAGATGAGGCGACAAAGAAAGATGTTTTTAACTTTAATTAGAAAGTGTTTTATGTATTATGTACGTACGAGTATGATTATGGTAGCCCACGCAGGAAGTCCTACTAATAATTTCTAAGCCATTTAACTTGTAAATTATTATGGTTATAAATGTATAATGTAAATGGAAACGGGAGGATGCGGGCGGTGCCCCACGTAGCGAGACAACTGCGACTCCGGCAAGAACTACCAGATATATAGATGTGTACATGTGTATGGTTATAAATTCAACCTACTTCAGTTTGCCTACGAGCCTAGATACATATAGGTACATCGCAGATATATATTTCCAACTGGTGAACCAAAAACTGGATTCGAGTTCAAGCGGCAAAATCCCTAAAACAAATAGAAACTAAAAGATAAAACGATACCATTATTAATATTGAAATTTAATTATATGCGTTTGCGGCATAAGGAAAAAATGTATTACCAACAAAAGTCTCTATATATATACACAAACAAACTAATTTATGAGATTATATATATACATATGACAGCAACAGAAGTATATGTAAAATTAAATAAAAACGAAGCCTCAGTCAGTATAAAAAGTTCAATGTATTATTTCACTCATTCGGAATGACCGGCCCAATTGTGGCAATGGGAAAAACAATTTTATATCCAGCATCAGGTAAATTTTCCTTGTGCATTTTCAGATCATTTCTTACATACCGTGCCTTTCATTATTTATAGAATGGGGAGTGGGAATACTCAGGGTAAGTTTTCATGGTCAGATGTGTGTCTGCCGCAAATTTATGTTCTATTTTTAATGGGCTTACATTTAAAAATATTTATGGTCAAGGAAAAAAGTTAATTTAATTCCGAAGTTTATATTACAAAATTGATTCAAAGGTAACAAGATTAACAATTAATTTATTTTGTTCTATTTGTTTTCCGAATATTCCTATGGAAGTTATAGAACTTAATAACTCACCTTCCCACTAATTTATTTTAAATTAACTTAATTGAGGTGCTGTAATTGATTCTTTATTACTTAAACAACCTCCGAAAATACAAGGCCAGATTGAAAAATATTATTACTGTGAACCGCGGCTTTTTGATCCTTTGATTAACAGTTTTAATGTTCGCTTAAGCCTGTTGGCGGTGGAAAAGCTGGCGGGATCTTTTGGGAGTTTAAGCGTAAATATTTTGCAAGCAAAACAGGTTGTCGTAAATTTTAATTAGCGTTAGCCGAAAACTAATTTCATGTTAATAACAAAAGTAACATTGTGGGCGTCCTCAAGGTCGTGGGCCGTTGGATGGGGGTGGTGGATATGGCGGACTAAACTGTTTGATGGGCATTTCATTGCACCACGGAGTATGCGCGGAACCCTATTTTGTGGCTGCCAATTTACGCTTAATTAGACATGTTCCTCTAGTCGCTTTTCGCCTCGAGGAAATCATCATCTTGGCGGCTGAATGTAGGGAAAACCGAACCTTTTATGACCGCCACGCATGTAAATAAAACGAGGTTCCTGGGGGAAATAGGTTAAAGGTCAGGAGGCCACAAAAATGAAAAAAAAAATCCGGCTGATGATGCCTGACCTTTCCTCGCACTCGCGGCTTGTTAATTAAGGTGGGACAAATGCAATCTGCAAGCCAGTTAAGCGTGCAATCAGCCAAAGGCCAATCCAGCTGGCTCATTAAAGGGGGATTTGGCCCGGTTAACACCCCCGTTCACACACGACCTCTACTAGGCGCGATAAAACAAATGCCAAAGCCTAAAATGGCAGGTTCTGGCATTTGCCATTCGCCTTCGCATCGCTGCTAAATAAATGGCCCTTAAATCCGGCTGCAATTTGTTGCACCCACGATGGCTAAGGGATATGCGAGATGTGATATGGGAAATGTGATATTGGTTATTGGATATTGGAAAGATAGAGCAGTAGATGGCATTCCGAACGTGCCCTGAATCGGACTCAGGCCAGAGGCACGAACCGGAAGCAGGGAGAAGCTGGATCTCTCGGCCCTGGGAATTGCAATTCAAAAATAACACAACATTTCAGTTTGTTTGTATCATCTCGCTGGCATTTGCCTGCGTAGATTATTTTTACATCAGCCATTGCCAAACTGGTTTTGGCCAACGGGCCAACACACCCACTCCCACTCCCGCTTCACTTTTGGCCGGGAATCGAGCTCGCACACTCTAATGCAAAATGTTGCGGTCTGTTTCCATTAAAGCTCCTTTTACTCGACTCTTGGCACTCGTCCTGTCTTGTCCTTGGCGTGTGGTTTCCCCTTCGATATCCCAGTGACAGCTGACACATGCAGGCAGGGCCGAGATCCACCTCCGGAGCAGGAGCTGCACATCCATATATCCATGGCCATTCCCTCGGCTGGACATTAACCCATTTCCCGAGACGATTTCGCGCTACCCCAAATAAATTGTGACACGAAAATGTGCTACGCTGACATCTCTTTGTGCCGGTCGCATAAAGTCTGTGGAAATCATCGGAATGCCGCGGCAAAATGTACATTTCTTGTTATTTTTGGCTGCTGCCTGCCCGCCATTTTTTACAGCCTTTATATTAATATTAATGATGTGCGCCGCGGATGTTGCTAAATATGCTAAAAGTTGGCTTTATCACGTTCCTTTGTCTGGTCTGGTCAAGCTAAAAAGCGCCCTGTACTTTCTGGCTTAACATGACGTATGCGTAATATTCAAATTAGCCCCTGCACTACTCCGTCAAAAACATGGCTGGAAGTCAGCCACGATAACAGTCAATCAAAAAACCATCTGCAACCCAGACCAATTTGCATGTTGATCCGCACTACGGACTCCGGACTCCGGAGGAAGGAAAACTCTGGCCAGAGTCATAGTTTCGCATTTGCACACACATAATCATCGGGCGGACTACCAAATCCCCTTGTTTTCGCTGCAGCTCTTCCCTTGGCCCCTGGTAGTTTTAATGTCGGAATAGTATTAGCCCCAAGGGCCAGCTGGAGGCATCCCCTTTGTGTGCCTTGTATTTGTTATTGTCATTGCTGTTGGCCCACAATGTAATTTGGTTTGGATTTTCACGACTTGTTGGCTTTTCCCCCTCGCCCGTTCGCTTGGGGGACTTTCTGCAGCTCTCAGTCGATGTTATTTTGGTTTCCCAATTTATTTATTTCCAGGCACTCTCCCAGCTAGCTGTCCATTGTGCTGCTGCCACATTGCAATTTTCAAATACATCCGCAATGGATGTGTATTTTGGTGTTCTTTTTTTGGGATAATACTCTCGGAAAAGGTTTGATTAAAGTACCAAAGGCAAATAAGAAACGAAAATACTTCATTATTTTATTTAGGAGTAAATGACACATGCTTTATGCAGATCTTGAAGACAGGGCTAAACGTGCGTGGTAAATTTCTTCTATTTGTACTCATATCGTTTTTACCACGCAATACTAGTGAAATTGATATTAAATATCTCCTTTTCGGATATTTTTTGACTTAGAAAAAGAAAGCAATAAGCAATATGGCGACTTAAATTATGTAAATTCGGTATTTCGTTGTCTTTAAAGTGAATAATATTTGTTAGAGCATTCAGATGATGACTTGCATATCCCAGCGCGTATCTATTGTTTCAAATTCAGCTTTCAATTTAAATTGTTCGGATTATTCTTTTTCTATTGTGTGCATTGAAATTGTGTTTCGGGCATTTGTTGTGTCAACACCGAGTGAACGAGATAGTGTCACCCACAACGTCCCCCGATCCCGTCGCTTTGATTTCTGCGGCAGACAATGGGACGTCGCTAATGTCCCCGGGGAATGCTGAGTACAAATATCTATATGAATATAGTGTGTTGTATCGTGTGTCTGCTGATGTGCGGGTATTGTATTTGGTTAATTATTCTGGTCGATTTAAGCATTTAACTTTTGAAAAGAGCTGTCAAATTGTGATGTCAGGACGTCAGTTGGGCCAACAACAATGAGAGCAATATTCCGCACACAAAAGGCAAAGAAGAATCGCACTAATCGTTGAGCGTTTCAGCGTGGGTGGATGACGTCTTAAAGTTGCTCCAACAGGTCTCCGGCTGATTGTTTACTTTTCACGCCCTATATTGGCCATTGTTATGGTAAAGACTTTATAATAATTTAGGAAAAATACAAAGTGCTGCTGCACATGTTTACATGTCCTCCTTATCCTCGTCCTCATCTTCCTCTGGCACGCCCACCGCCTTGTCGGGATAGAATTTCTTGAGAATCCTGTTCACATCCGGAACGAGTGTTTCATAGTCCAAGGGGAACTTGTCGCGACGCGGCGGTCCCTTCTCCAAGCCAGACCACAAAAGATGCACGGAGGTGCGGGCATTTTGCGAGAACCCTATCTCGAAGGCTCCTTCCCGGGGCACCTGTCGTCCGTACTTGTTCTTCACCAACTGGAACTTGCGCTCCGGAATTCGCTGTTGCAGGAACGATCCACACTCGTCGGCCTTGGTCTGGAAAATGGGGCACTCGTACGTATGCTCGATGTAGATCATGGAACGCTCTTTGGAGAAGTGCTCATCGTCGGCCCAATCCACTTCCTTCTTCTTCTTACCCGGACCCTTGGGTGGCATTCTTGCTTACTAAGAACAAGTACAATTTTGAATAATTTAAAAAAATTTGTATGTAAATTTCCAAAGCCGATTGTGTTTTGAGTGTTAACAATCTTTTTATTCATAACTGCTTCTTTGATTGATTGCTTTTTTGGCTTTTTTATGATTTTCTGGCAAGAGTACTGTGAACCATAAATCTTATTTCGTATTTTCAAAGTGCGCAGCGCTGTCCAGAATATTTTTACTCAGCCTATTTTTAAAATGCATGACTATCCGAAAGAGCCAACACATGAAAACCCGTGCAACAAATATTTAGTTGTTAATTTGGCTACATTGACTGACAACGCAGCCGCCTTTAAAAAAAAATATATGAAAACAAATTCAAATCGAATAGATGCACAAGCCAATGCTTCCATTCGCTCCGGCGGTAAATATTTTTCTTTATTCTTACGCTTATATATAGATTCGGACATATATGTATCCATGTCCACAGATCTCCAATATAGACGTCAATTTATGGCACTGTCTATATTCATGCAGAACAGCTACTCAACCAATTCTATGCATAACAATAATATATTGTTGGACACAAACATGCATAAACAATAAAATGAAAACATAAAAAAAGACGAGTATTTAAAGAAAATAATTTATCCTAGGATACAATTTTGCGGTCGACTTTCGTATATCCTTTTTGTGAAATTTGTAATATGTTTTTATTTCAATTTCCATAATTTAGGGGCACGAAAAATATAATTATTTTGTAATACATATAGATAGTTTTTAATAACTCATTAGTTCGATCTGAGAAAATTTTGCACTCACTGAAAAATACGCCCTCTAATATGTATAACATTTTTCATAGTTCTTTTAAACTCACATAAGAACATTAAATTAAGCCAATTTAAAGCCGTAAAATGCTTGTTATATAATTTTGTATTTTTAAGTTGAGTCGTTTAAATTTGTATTTTGGAACATTAACATCAGTGCAACAATCTTTTATTTGCTTATTTTTATTGGGTTCTCTGAGCGAGACTGCCAATGGTCATTTATTGCATTTTATTTTCCCATTCGTGGCGGCTAAAGTTGAATGATTTTTTGCCACAGCTGCCCACACATGGCACCAAATATTCCCCGCCCTCCGATGGCGCATGGTTTATTTATGCAATTTTCCCAGCATCGGTTCTCAAACAGCAAAGAAATGAAAGCATACAAATTGCAGCCAAAGCTGGGCATTTTAATAAAAAACCAAAAATGCAATTTGCAAATTAACAATAACGGGAATGTAAACAACGCCAGTGACGTCACAGAGGGGACAGCCCGAAAAAAATAGAAATAACAAATTCGAAATCAAGCCGCGGGGTTAAAAATGCGGCGTTCGTTATACATATTTATGCGCATAAACTGTGTATTTAAAGTAGGGCCGTTTTAAAGCAATATTCAAATGAAGCAAAAAATACATTTCAGCCACAGAACTTAACGAATGTATCTGTATTTCGAGTATCTGACTGTGGGCCTGTGTTGTGGAAAAATAATCATCGATGCTGCGGCGTCAGTGGGGCAGCGCCAAAAGCAACAAATTTAAATATATTTATTTATCCGAATAGCGGAATATGTATCTCGCATCGCACACGCATGTCCGCACATACTTCAGATATATTTTTAAAAAATCAAAACGACATATTCGCTGCAGCGATTTTGAAATACAACAGACGTTGGCGTCGACGTCGGCGTCGCCAGAGATCGGCGAGCGAACATTTTCGGCGGCTGCAGGCAGCGGCACTCGATCGTACCGCTTAGTGCCACGTCGTGTCTCAGAGCGCCCAGGCCACGGGCCCCGAACCGTACCGCTAAACGGAGAAATTGAAAATTTAAAAACGAAAAAAATAATTTAAAATACCAGAAATACCAGAACTCCCCGTCGTGGAAAACTGAGTGCCGTGCCAGGAGATCGAGAATCTTTTTTGTTCGAACCACAAACAGCCAGCAGCATCCTTCGTAATGCAGGTCTTCGATAACAATATGGTAAGTGAAATCTGCCCTGCGGCCAAAAGCCATTCGGGCCCGTGTTTACCCAAGCCAAATTTATTGTCGCCGCCCTGTGTATACCTAGCCACACTTAGCCCAGTTAGCTTAACCCAGAAATGCCAATACACAAATTCCAGTTCCACAGTTTTCCTCGCACAACCCCGCCCATTTTGGCCGCAGAAAAGGTTCTTCTTTGCTAAAGTAAAGGAAAAGATAGCGAGGGGGAGAGGCAGCCAGGAAGTCATGCGGTGCTCAGAACGGGCCGACAAATTAATTACAAAAATTCACTTAATGGCCACGATCCAAGTGGGTCAACGTACGTATGAGCCACTAGAAAATTTGCGAAATGAAAACTTAAGTGTTCCGCAACAGACTTGTCAAATTTTACCGTCTGCCTGCCATAAAGTGCAACTCAAATTGTTTTAGTATGGCTAAATTATAGTCAGATTTCTAGAATAAAAATCATGACATTGAGGCGGACTATTATGGACATTCCAGAGCCATATTTTCCACGAAAGTGGACCTTTTCAAAATAGAATACATCTTTAGCTTTGGCCAGACAAAATGCTTTTGCAATGCCAGAATTTTCCATTCCATTTGATTCGTCCGCATCATCTAAAAATACATATCCATATCTTTATTAATAATAAAAATAAGCTTGGAGACAAACCAAACGGAGACCAATAAGTATTCGCCGGATACTGATTTCTTGGCAGCTGAGCGACCCCATTAAGTACATAAATCGTCAGGCGCGCTCGCATAAATATATTTGAACCGGCAAAGGCAGATAGATAGGTTCGAAATTGTCGCAGGCGGACTTCGACCATATGTAAGGCACTTACAGAATGTGGCATTAGTCACATGTGGGCTAACTTAATCCCAAAATCGGTGGCAAGGTCGCCGGATGACGAAAGCAATCCGAAATGACACCGTTGACTTCCTTTTGATATTCCATGCAGCTAGAGGCGGTATAAATAGATCCGGCGTTTTACAATTCCGGCTAGGGAAAAATAGTCCAAGAAACCGAAATGGAAATGGTTTATTTTCAGGCCGAATAAATCAATTGGCTTCTGTATTTATGCAGATGCCACCATTTGATTATTTCGCACTGTCGTTGATTTATGGCCAATGGCCAAAAGGGGCGGCTGAGGTTGGGGGAGCCACTTTCCATGCCATTCTCCTACATTTCCCATTTCCCACTTCCCAGTCGCTTTCCCTCTTTTTCGAGAGTATTGTGCACGTCATGTGTAATTGCTATACGTCAATGTCAATGTGTGGGTTAGGGTCTGATAAATGCAAGCATATGTAAGTGCTTGTGGACGTTCAGGATCCTGTGGTTGCAATTGGTTAGCCTAATGAAATAGCCGATGATGTATTGTTGGCAAATATGTGCCTGTCCATTTCATCAGCCTTTTCGAGGGGAATGTTAAGCAGAGCAAGCATGTGCCAGTATTATCGATCTGAATTTCAAAGAGAATCAGCCAAAAATGTTAAATACACGGAAGTCTTGAGTCAATAAATTGAACTAATTCCATTTCGTAATGGTCTTTCATCAGATTTCGTTGATTGGCAGGCATAAGAATATCTCTAGGGACAGTGGAATAAACCATGGCATAAAAAGAAAATGGTTAAAGGAAAATTAATATGTAGAATATATACACACAATTAAAAGCATAAGAAAACATTTAATAGCACACACTTTTTGCATTCCGTTTGTTTCCCATTTTACCCCCTAGAAAGAAAAACAATAAGTGTGTGCAATAATTTGCATGTTCGCCTTGTTTATCGATCAAAACACAAACAAACAACCCGCCGCAATTGTTTAAATATTTCCCAAACAAACATCTCGCCCAGCTACACTGTCCGGCTATTTATACATCGAAACTGAAATGTTAATTCGCTGAAATGAAATAAATATTTAAATCGGGATATACGTATAAGAGATATGACTAATTGTGCGCTGCTATATCTTCCATCCATTAGCGCCGTGCCTCGCGACGCGCCTCCCTGCGCCGAGGCTCGATATCGGCCTTGCCGCAGAAGTCGCACGAGATACCCTGGGACATATTCGATCGGCTCTTCATGCCCTTCCTCTTCTGCCAGGCGGCGGCCATCGTGAGCTCGTACCTGCTCCACGCCCTGGACATCTCCAGCATCTCGACCTTCGCCGTGTTCGTCTGGTTCGCCCTGGCCACCGTGGGAGCCGTGCTCTTCTACCACTTCGTCAAGGTAAGTCCAGTCCCCAGTCCTGTTGCAGACGTCTTAATCCCGGCGAAAACCGCATATGGCTTTGGGTTTCGGTTTCAGAGCCATGGGCGGCCATAAGTTCGGGATATGTCTGGCGGTCCGGTCCGATTTGCCTCGGCTCGGTATTCTTTTCCTCTTCCGTTTTGGCTCGCTCCGAGTGCCAAGCCAAAACCACAAGTGTCGACGGAGGGTCTCGAATGCTAGGCAAAACAAATCAGTGGCACTAAAAATAGTCGAGCCACCAGAAAATCCAAAATGGGCAAGGGGTGTAGGGTAAGGGGTCCTGCGGCAGGCACGTCGTCAACTTATGCTTAACCAGACCGGAGGAAACCCTTGACTGTGGATTTGGCTTCGGATTTGCCAGCGTTTGGTATTTCAGAGCTTACTGCCTGGCAGCCAGCCGGGAAAATGAAAATGAAAACAAATAAATAAGCAGCTGGGGAGGGGACGTCCTAAAGGGGAAACCCGAGCAAAACTTGCTGAAAGAAAAGGGTTTGGTAATGAATATAAATTCGCAAGTAGGAAAAATGTGGAGTCTTGATTCACTTGAGACCAACCAAAAATTGCCAGGCTATGGCAATGGAAAGGGACCATCTAGTAAATTGTTAGTCATTTCAATATCCCTTCCAACTCTCGAAGAATTTAAGGGCTCTTGAGACAGTCAATAATCTTAAATTATGACTTTAAAAAAGACTTTATAAGTCAGTGTTAACATCACAGACACTTTAAGTAGTCTTAATTTGTATTGCATTTTGCAGGTATTAATAGTCATGTAACTTACGCTATTTAGTTAGATGGAGGCTTAAAGCTTTAAATAAAGTTCTCCCGCATT